GTGTCAAGCTACAATCCGGCATCTTTACATGTTTTAACATGTTCATCAATGTGCACTGTCCCATTCAAATAAACAAATAAATAAATAAAATAAATAGGAGGTTTGTAATGCTGAGTGCTTCAGTGACATCATTGCATTTGATGTGCAAAAGACGTGAAATACTTTGCCCAACTATGGGAGGGAAGTCCACCTATGGCTCCTCCAAATCCAGGTTATAGTGAGAGCGTCCAAGAGCTGAAGAAGTTCATCCTCTCCAAAGCTTCACAGTCAGCTGGAATTACTCTCTCACAGTTCAAAAGTAAAATTCAGGACCTGTGGGATGCCCTGATGAATGAAAACTTTATTTTCAGTTTCAAAAACACACTTGAAATTGCAGTGTACAGAAAACTTGAGGAGCGGCAAATGAACTGGACCTGGGCCCTGAGGAGCAACATGTTGACTATTGAGAATGGGCTTCATACTAGAATTGAAAATGGAAAAGTTGACAAGGTTGAGCTCAGTTATCTACATGAGGAAATGAAGATAACCTATGAAAAAATCAAAAAAGCAATGACAACATACTTTGATGATGACAGAGACAAAGAAATATTGGTTCAGTGGCAAAGACGATTTGAAAGCAAAATCAAGGAGTTTCATGACGACCAAGTGAGAGGAGTCAAAAAAAACCTGGATGAAGTGATTGAGCAGAAAAATGCTTGTAAAAAGCTTGATGATAAGAAGACAGAGTTTGAGAACAAGCTGCTACAAAAGAGCAAAGCGGTCGCTCATCAGTTAAAGGACAAGGCAAAAGATGAAGAGGAACTTAAAAAACAGTTCAATTCTGTTTGGAGTGGCTGGGTCAGTGAACTAACTGCAGGTACAAAACCTATTGAGGATATCAGCTATGAAGAAGATCTGACTATTATCCTTCAGGAGCTTGGTTTTGAATGGTCTCTTATAACCGAATCTGAAAGCAGTGGCAGCTACAAAAAAAATATCAGAGCTGGGTGATTACACTCATGTGTGTCTCAGCAAGGACCAAGATTTCTGCAACACAGGCCAACAATCCCAAGATGATAAAAGGGAAAACAAAAGCACTGAAGGACAAGGAAGACTTTTAACAATGTGGGCATCATTTAAAAAAATATTCAGACTTAGGAGGTCAACAGAACAGAATGAAGAACATCAAGGAGAACTTCAAGGAGTTCTTACATCAAGGAATCCTTTAGTATGTGAAGAACAGCAACTGATCAGATCCTTCATTGACAGCATTGAAAAACAGTCCCTTGATGCAATCAAGGGCAAACCTGTTGCTACAAGAGGCTACAGTCCAATTTACTTGCAAGAAGTGGCCAACAATGTCAAAGAAAAGGTGAAAGAGTTTGAATCAACGAGGAAATATGCTGTGAAGAAGGAGTTTACTGTTGATCGTTTACTGTATGTGTTTGACAAGGCAGGGAGATGGCTTTCAGAGTCCCATAAGGAATTCAAAATGAACAACGATACAGTCACTTGTGTAGAAAGCAAGAAAATGCAATATTACAACATTTTCAGCAGCTTCTGCAGAGGAAGCTCATCTGCTGTTGTGTTTGGAGAACTGATCTGTGAGAAACTGAAGAGTTCCACTGTTGAAGCCGTCTGTAACAAGACTGCCATTGATCTTGCTGATGAGATGAAGTGCAGTTTCCCAGCATTCAGTGGGAACAGGTTGAACTTGGAGAAACACGCACTGAAGTCACTGGCTGAGAAAGAGGACTTTGGTGGTTTTATCACCTACATCCAACACCCAAGGAACCAAGCAAAGACGTTTATAAGAAAGGAAGTACAGAAATACATCCTCACAGACAACAAATATAAAGCACGGTGCATACTCAAGAAAAATGTTGAAGACATCAATAAGCTTGTGAGTCAAGCTTTATTTGCTGCAACAGAGAAAGTGAAAACCCAGAGAGGAGACTCAGACATGTGGTTAAAGGAATTTTCCAGTTTGCTAAAAGATGAGCTGACATTTGACGCAATTTGTTGTCAAAACTTCAGTGACATTAACAATTTTGACTTTCTTACAGAAAAGATAGAGAAAGGCCTTGTATCAGTTATGAAGGAAGTGGGCAGCCTCTCACTGGATAAGATGGAGGAATTCAGGATGAAGCCTGATCAAATCCTCATTGATCAGCTGTGTAACTGCTGCTGGGCAAAGTGTCCATTCTGTGCAGCTGTTTGTACCAACACGCTAGAAAATCACAGTCCTGACAAACATAGTGTGCCTTTTCATCGGCCCTCTGGGATTAAAGGATGGCATGTTCGAGGCACAGTGGAACTGGACATCAACTTCTGCACACCATTAGTTGCAAGTGATCAACGTTTCTACCCCCATTATGATTCAAAAAAGACTATTCCTTACAAACAGTATCAACATGCTGGGAAGAAGTATGCAACATTGCAAATTACTCCTGATGAGTCTAAGATGATATACTGGAAATGGTTTGTATGTCGATTTCAACAGCAACTGGAAGACCGCTATGACTTAAAATTCCAGGGCAGGGGAGAAATTCCTCCTGAGTGGAGAGGCCACAGTAAACAAGAAGCTATTGAAAGTCTGGATGAAATGTACAATCTGTGACTGAGCCAGAAACAACCAAACTCTACTCAGAGTAGCAGAAGGCCAAAGTGTCTTTAACTATTCAACAGAATTAGGAGCTTTTAATTTGATTAAAGGGCCAGTGTGTAATATTTGGCATGGTTTATTGTCAAATCTGAATCTGAGTGTATAATCGCTATAAAAGAAAATTCGTTTGGTTTTCGTAGCCTTATAATTATGCTTTTATTTATATATATAGCAAGGGCCTTGCTTTAGAGAGGTCGCCATCTTGCGCCGCCATGTATGTACGGCAGACCGAGCGGACAATCCAGCCAGCCAGAGAACGCGTTTCGCGTGTATAAATAAACCAACGAAGACAGCGGAAGGAAGGAAGAAGGAGGAGGAAACAGCAGAGTGTTAGTAGTTCCTCGACAGAGAGTAGTGAAAAGTTGTTTTAGTTATAAAGTTTGTGAATGGACCACACTTACCACGCAACAGGAGAGAATGAACCCGAACCGTCATCAGCGAGGAAAAGAAGACGCAACTTCACTCCTTGTGATGCACTCTCTGCTGTGCTTTTCCTCCTGATGATATATCTCCCCAACGATGGCAGCAGTAGCACCGAATCCCATTCTGTGCAGCAAAATGGGAGCGGAGGATTCAGCCTCTCTTCTGGCCCGCTCAGCATCCAACACATGGAGTTACTCATCTGTATGCTCCGCCTCAAACAGGTATGGCTCTGGGTCTGTGTCCGCTACAAGAAACTCTTCAAAATCGCGTTCAAAGTCGTCC